AATTTCTGAAGCTTAAATTATCTTGTGTGCAATTCTGTAAGAATCTGAGGTCTAACACATTTATAGAAATGGTATCTGCTCTTCCGGTCCCAGGCGCTTCAGCATCCGCGGCTTACGGTGCAGACATGGCCAAGTCCAAGAACCATACCACACACAACCAGTCCCGAAAATGGCACAGAAATGGCATCAAGAAACCCCGATCACAAAGATACGAGTCTCTTAAGGGGGTGGACCCCAAGTTCCTGAGGAACATGCGCTTTGCCAAGAAGCACAACAAGAAAGGCCTGAAGAAGATGCAAGCCAACAACGCCAGTGCCATGAGTGCACGTGCTGAAGCTATCAAGGCCCTTGTAAAGCCCAAGGAGGTTAAGCCGAAGATCCCAAAGGGTCCTAGCCGCAAGCTTACTCGACTTGCATACATTGCCCACCCCAAGCTTGGGAAGCGTATTCGTGCCCGTATTGCCAAGGGCCGCAGGCTCTGCCGGCCAAAGGCCAAGGATCAAACTAAGGCCCCAGCCGCAGCTTCACCTGCAACTCCAGCTTCAGTTCCAGCTCCTGCTCAGGCTCCCAAAGCTGCCCAGACCCCCACAAAAGCTCCAGAGTAGAGGCCTCTGTCTGCCAATGTGTGGACAGAAGGACTGATTTGGCCCCCAGGATGCTGTCTGCGTGGGGCTGGTGTCCTCCTGTGCTATTTGTACAAATAAACCTGAGACAGGATTTGTTAGCCTGTGTCTATGATCCTAGGGTGTAGGGTGGGGTTGCTACCTCCATTGGTGTGGGAGAAGACATTAACTTTCTTTAGATGGTGGGAGGTGTGAGTGGGAATCAGGAAAATGGGGCCTTTGGGGGAGCTGGGGCACATAACTTACTGAACTGGGTGAGCTGCTGAGGACAGGGTTAAATTCTAAACATCCTTGTTACAGTTTGAAATGTACTCTTAGGGAAGAGGAGGGGCCCTGCTGAGCGGTTCTGCACTCTGGCCTGAGGTGTCCCAGACTTGAGCTGTCCTGGTACACCTGGCCAGCATCCACTGCTCTGGTTTGTGCTAGTTCCCTAGCTAGGGACCCAGGAAGGCAGGGCAGCTATGGCACTGCCTCACACCATGACAGCCTGATGCTGCTGTGCCCCTGGGTCAGCTGTTTTACATGCAGGATCTTGATCCTCAGAGCAGCCAGTAGAGCAGGTAGTGAAGTAGTAATAGACATTTGGGAGGCTGCCAGTAGAAGGCACCAAACTGTTCTGGTCAGTCTTCAAAACCAGCCTTGGTCAAACCTTGGGGACTTTGGAAACTCAAAAAGGGGTGCTTTGACTGGGCGTGGTGGCTTACACCTATAATCCCAATACTTTCGAAGGTGGAGGTGAGAGGATGGCCTGAGCCCAGGAGTTCAAGACCAGCCTGGGAAACATGGCAGGACATTGTCTCTGTACTAAATCCAAAAATTAGCTTGGTGTGTGCGCCTGTAGTCGAAGTTACTTAGAGGACTGAGGTAGAAAGCTCACTTGAGTGCAGCAGGTCAAAGCTGCAGCAGCTGTGCTCCTGCAACTGTACACCAGCCCGGGTGACAAGACTGACTCAAAGGGATGCTGTTGTGCCAGAGCAGCAGGCGCAGCCCACAGCTTATGATCTCCTTACCTCTGAAATGGTTAACTATTTTTTGGTTTCACAACTTGTTGAAGATGACAGCTAGGAAAGCATGGAGGTAGCATGTGAACCCGCGCAGTCCATGTGGGACCTTAGAAGTTAGTTTGGCCAACCAGGCCTGAACTACTATCACTTGACTAATCCTGGCCTCCCTGGGTGGCCCACTGCCCTCACTAGGGGGTGTCCAATGGCAGTGATCTGGAAAGGGAACAGGAGCATGTCCAGAAGGTCACCTGGTTGGATGACTTCCAGAGCCAACCTGTATGCTGGTACCCAGGACAGGCATGAAGACTCCTTTTCCCAGTCATCCTGAGGTGAAAAAGGAGTGATCACTTTAGGGAGCTCTGGTCTGCAGGGGAAGCTAGACCCTAACCTCAGGAGACCCCAGGTCAGGGGCTTCAACTAAGCTTTGTTTAGGTCACAGCCAGCTGCTGCCTTCATCCTGCCCCAGCACACAGCCTGTCCTGTGCTGAGGAACCCAAGTTCCCAGTTCTTTTGTATGTGTGTGTTAGGGTCTCTATTGCCCAGGCTGGAGTGCAGTGCCAATGATCACAGCCACCGCAGCCTCAACCTGTTGGGCTCAGGCGATCCTTCTGCTTCAGCCTTCCAAGTAGCTGGAAATACATGTGTGTACCACTGCACCCAGCTAGTTTGATTTTTTTGTAGATGAGGTCTCACCAATTTGCCCAGGCTGATCTTGAACCCCTGAGCTCAGGCTATCCTCTCACCTCTACCCAAAGTCCTGGCATTATAGGCATGAGCCGCTGCTCCCGGCCTAGTTCCCAGTTCTTGACCCTCAATTGACTGCATCCCCCAGAAACTTTCTAGTCTAGGGCCTCCTCTTCTAGTAGAGCTTCAGTTTCTGCATAGCTAGTGGGACCTGTGTCAAAAGGCTGCTGTGGGGGTTCAATGAAGAATAAGCCAAAGTCCTGGCTCCTTGTCAACTGTGAGCAAGGGTTATTAGTGCTAAGTCTGCAGGCCACAGGGCCAGGTTCTGGAGTTCCCTCCTGGCTCCAGCTAGGAAAAAATGCCAGTCCTCCATACCCTCCCATGCTCTTGGAGGTCAGGACAGTATAGAGCAGATCAGCTAGAAAGTCTTGGCTCCTGGGGCTATAGCCAGTTCTTGGTACTGCCTGAGGGCTTAGCAAAACTCAGATGGAAGCCCAACTCCTGGGCCTCCACACACACTGTACCAGGTTGCTAGGGATCTTAAGATGAACTTGTCTGGACTACCAGGATTCTTGCACCTCTGTGACCCACTCCCAACACCAGAGCCCATGGGTTTTGACAAACGCCAGCAGTCATTCCTTGCAAGTTGTCCTTCTGCCCCACATATGGCAGGGACCCAGCTGGTCCCCTTCTGGTCCTGTCTCAGGATCCCAATCAATGATCCAAGAAAGGCAGGAGGTCCTTGTTTCGTTATCTCCCTTGGATGGGAATGGAATCCTTGACCTCACAGCTCAGATGTAGGTAAGTATGGTGGCTACTAAAAACAAAAACTATAACTTGTTGCTGGGCACAGAAGTAAGTGGCTGTGAGTGGTACTAGATGGGTATACTATTTCAAGGGGACAGAGCAGTGTGAGGTGGTGGGGAAGGGCCCCAAATCAGGCTGTTTCCTCGTTTGTGAATCGTGGATGGTAACTCCCCAGGGAAATGAGAATTCCTGCTGCATGAGCATCTTTGCTGTTAGTACTTCAGAGACACGGCCTATCCACACACAGACTTTATTACTGGACAGAGGGAAGAGGAGGTCCTTGGCACTCGTTGCAATGGAAGCCTCAGGGGCAGAGATGGGGGAGCCTGAGGCTCAGCTGTCACCGGGCAGGGTAGGCACACTGGCCAGGGCAGACAGCAGGCGTGTGTATATGTCGACCCCACGGAGGAACACGGCCTCATGCAGCCGCTCGTCATGGTCATGCAGCAGTACAGGTGTGCGGTTCATGGGTGAGAAGCCCAGAGCTGGGACCCCAACCTGCAGGGGTGAGGAAGAGCCATTAGGAGAAAGCCAGCATTCAAACCCAGTCCCCTGCCCATGCATTGCTGTATAAGTGGCTCACTGCACGGAGATAGCGGCTGTCGGTGGCAGCTGGGAAGATCTCAGGCTCTAGAGTGAGGTTCCTGTAGGGAGAAAAGTCTGATGAAAGGGAGGTAAGGGGAAGGCAAGGGAAGAGCCTAAGGGACAAAGAAAGGTGGAAGAGAGGTATGGGGGAGAGGGAAGGGAAGTGGCAGCAGGAAGGAGAGCAGGTAGCTGGGCTGAGAGCTGGCTGTGTGCTCACATGTCCTTGCAGGCCCGGCTAAAAGCTTTCCACCAGGGGTTTGAGTCATCAGTGGGTGTCACTCGTGGCTTTGTCCACTTCTGGGGAAGGGTAAGATGGCAGGATCAGGACAGGGGCCTGGGCATCTTGCCCTATTCCTCACCTGGTAGGCTGTACCGGGCACAGAACATCTTTCTACCACAGGCCCCATCTTTCCAGACATCAGGCGGCTGGGCCAGCCACAGGCCCTCTTTCAGCCCCTCAAATGCCCTAGGTCTGGAACCTTCCCACGCTCTCCATCTACTTACCTCCTGCCCATCCTTCAGATCCTAGCCCAAGTGCCCCTTCTTCCAGATGGCTCCCCAAGACTAGTTGCAACCCTGATTATAGGTTCTCAGAGTGCAAGGTGCTGCCCTTTCCTGGACCATGTGTTCATACTTAATATAAAGGTAACATTATATGAATATTTGATTTATGTCTATTTTCCCCTTTCATGCCATGAGGTGCCAAATTTTATCCCCCATAGGTTTTTTTTTTTTATCCCCTCAGCACCCATAGTGGCCTCCACAACTAATGCGTTAGGTGGATAAAATGTGTCTCCACAGTTGAAGACATGCCCAGACCTACACAAACACGCCAAGCACACACTTCCTACACTGCCGCACACTTGGTGAGCCCATGCACTCCCCCAGCACAGGTCCCAAGTCGATACCTGAGCAAACTCAAAGGTGACCCCCTCGCCAGCTGCCTGGCACCAGCCCTGCAACTGCTCCTCGAAAGCCTAAGAGAAGGGAGATGAATTGATTCTTCTGGCTTTTCCAGAGCCTCTAGGGACAGGCTTCCCTCTAGGACCCAGGCTCCCTCCTCCAAACCCAGGTGGAGGTGGCACCTTCAGGTCTACATCTGGTGCCACGCGGAAGTCAAAGCTGGCGCTCATAGTGGCAGGTACCACGTTATAGGCCACGCCACCCTCAAGCTTAGTCAGGTTCACAGAGGTCACAGCGCCCTCCTTCAGGTGGGGGTTTGACTGAAGCCTGCAGTGGGAGCGGAGGGGACAGGGTAGGGGCAGCATCAGGAAGCAACAGATAAAAGAAGGTGGCCCAGCTTCCCTGTTCTGGTAAAGCCTCCCAGAGCCACCTCGCCCTTTCCCAGGATAGCTTACCTCTGCCTTTCCTTCTCCCGGAATGTCAGGATTGAGGTCACAACCTTGTGCTAGGAGAGAATGAGGTTTGATGTGACAGTGGCCCCAGAACAGAGCCTCTCAAACTCCCAGGCTCCTTCCCCATGTGCCACGCACCAGCTTCTCTGCTGCTGTGTCCTCGATGAAGCGTGAGCCATGGCCTGGTCTCCCAGTGCTGGTGACCCGCACCCCTAGGGAGATGCAGGAATGTCTTCCACAGGAGAGGGGCTGGAGACGCAATCAATCCTGGGGTGGGCCCAGATTGCCCCCTCATTCCAAGCTCCTCTAGCAGGGCCCTGTCTCCCTCAGAGCTCACAGCATAGAGCTGATTTCTGCCCAAAGTTTCTCCTCAGAGAAGTTCAGGAAGGAGAAGTCCAGGTAGGAAAGGGCTGGAAGGCAGAGGCTATGGGTTCAAGGCCTACTCAACTTGTTGCGTGACCCTTCATAGGACCCTGCCCTTTCCGGCCTAGTTTCCCATTTGTAGTGACCTCCAAGCTCATACTCACACCAGGGGCTCCGCTCACTATAAAAGACGGTGAAGGCATCAGTAGGGTTCGCTAGGCCTGAAGAAAGAAAGGGGGTTCAGAGGGTAGAGCAGCCCAGGCCCCACTGGCAACCTTCCTGCCCCACTTGGCTGCTCAGTGGCTTGCAACCTGCTTACCCTCATCCAGGGCAAAGCCAGCCCTCAGGGCCTGGAACTCAGGTTGCTGCACAAACAGCTCCATGCCTTGGTGACCCCCAACCTCCTCATCTATAAAAGCAGCATGGACATGAGATGAGAGGACCTCCACCCCCAGTACACCCTACCGCTTCCCAAAGGTGTCCCTCCCTGAGCCACTCCTACCAGGCACAAAAGTCATGTGGATGGTTCTGGGGAAATGGTGGCCCTCACCCTTCAGCCTCCTCACAGCCTCCAGGTACCTAAGGGAGCATAAGCCAGGTGCTGGGGCAGCCACCAGATGCTCAGGCCGGCCCAGCAGGCAGAGCTGACAGGCTGCAGTCCTGTGCCCTGTGGCAGGGACTCTAGAAAGTCCTTGCTCCTCTCTGGGCCTCAATCTCCCCGTCCATGCAATAGTCATGGCAGTAATTCCTGCTCAAGATGTCCTTCAGTCTTACGTTTCTCCAGTCACACCCCCAAGTCCTATGTTAATCCACTGGGCCAGTGGGGACATTGTAGGGGAATGCGTATGGAGGATACTCACTGGATGCTGACACACTTCATATCCTGGGCACCTCTGGCATAGATGTAGCCCTCAGAATCCTTGAAGGCCTCAAAGGGGTCATGACTCCAATGTTCCTAGGCAGGGATGAGAAGAGAGACCCAAATCCCAAATTTAGTTATTAATCCACTGTGGTCAATGGTGACCCTGCCCTAGGAGCCCACTGTAGGGTTGGGATGATAGGTGGGATGGTGAGGGGGACAGAATAGGGCTAAAGAAGGCGGCTGATGGCCATCCTCCATCAGCTGATGACCATTCCCCATCAGCTGACAGCCATCCTTCATCGCTGTCTCCTGCCACCACCCCCACTCTGGCATGGAATCACTGCTGGACAAAGGCTGATTGAGTGGAGTAATGTCATCTGCATGCTGAGAGCTAGTGCCAGGGTCAGTACCATGGGCTCCCTGCAGTTGGATCCTGGATTCTGCATCACATCTGTCCCCAGAGCCTCCACACAATTCCCTCCCATACATACCTTGAAGACAGGCACCACATCCATGTGGGAGTTGAGCAAGATGGAGGACAGTGTAGGGTTGGAGCCTGGCCAGGTCAGCACAGTCACCACATTGCCAGGTGCCACCTAGAGAGAGTCAGGAGGGGAGGTGGCCAGTGCAGGGTTAGGAGGTGCCCCAGGCCCACCTCCCTTCCCCACTCAGGGATCCAGGCTTACCTCCACCTTCTGGCAGCTCAGGCCCAGCTGGTGGGCTCTCTCCTCGAGGAAGGCAACGGCAGCCCCTGGGGGCACAGAGAGTCTGGGGCTGCTTCCACCTACTCATCACCCCCCCCCCCCCCCCCCCC